CACCTATACACGACGTATGTCAAGAAGAACATAGCACCAGATTTTACTGTCCCAGGCCCGATCTCAAAGTAGAGGCCCTATTGGGATGAGTTTGTATAGTACAAGACTTCGGAAGAGGGTGTGAGTCGGGTGATAAAGAACCAACGTAATGCCCAACAGAAGACATACCAACATACCTTGGGATCAGGTGGCTACCCGACCGCCATTAAGAAGTGGAACAAAATGGAAGCGCACCTTCTTGCCAAGGGTATCGCACTGTAATCACTCGAGTGGGGAGAACGTGCAAAGAATTGTTTTTTCGGTCATGGGGAACACTAGACCAGGAGACAGGGAAGTGCGTTTATGGCGCAAGACCGCAAGAAGCAAAGCAAAGATTATTTTATGCTCAGAGAGCTACCGCTAGTGGTGCGCGTTCAGCCCAACAGAGAGAAGGATGAGCCGACATACGCCATCGAGACTATTGAACATGGTGGCGAACTAGAGGCAAAGGAAGTGTCTCGTGGGAGCATGGATTCCTCAGATGCACCTTCTTATGTAAGTCGCCAGAGAAAGAAGGAAGAAGAGGCACAGCTGCTCCAGAGATTGGAGGAAGCGGTGCGTGAAGCACAGAGAGCGGGAAAAAAACCTTGAAGCGAGAATGCAGGAGGAAATCGAAGGCAAGTACAAATAGCGGTGAGTGCAAGTAAGGTGCATCGAGCCGTAAATCAACATTAGCCAATCTGCTTGGGGCTTGAAAGCAGCAACAAGGCTTCCACGGAGATACCAAATCAAGGGGACACAGGATCGCGCTTCCCTCGTGGATGACGCCATCGAACCTTGTACAACGTGTGAGCTACACATTCCGAAGGAGAATTCTACAATCAAGGTGGCTATCGGTCTTGTTAATCCTATCGACCAACCAAGACACCAAGGATTCATGGGAATATAATCCAAGAAGGATATGCTACCATCTCGGTAGATAAAGTCAAAAAGGTTTTAGTGATTTGCCTCTTGACATTCCCGGAGGTGATGGCGAGAAGACTCTAGGAGAAGCGGAGAAGACATTCATTCTATGGCGCAAGCGCTTACATCATCATTCCGTGGATGTCGGCTCCACCTCCTCCCCGAACTACTCTCACCATAGGTACGTGTGGATGAAAACACTACATCATTAATTTGTATTGGCTTAAATAATTAACAATCTGCTCATAATAATATGTCATTCCTTTTTTGTAGCAGATCCTCCCCAACCTAAATCCAATTGTTCAATCGCCAGATCATCATAGTGCTCAGAGACGATCACATTATGTTGGAAGACGAGGCTGCATCTACACCATCTCCAAGGAGGTCTCCAACGCCGAGCCGCCACCTCCAAGGAGGTCTCCAACGCCACGCCAACACCTCCAAGGAGGTCTCCAACGCCTCCCGCCCCGCCTACCAAGAAGCCTAGCAAGAGGCCAGCCCTCAAACGAAGAACCAGTCCCTTTTGCCAAAAAAAGAAAGCCATCGTGAAACCAAGGGCTATTCCCAAAATAATATCTCAAGAGAAGAAAGAAGGAACTGATGCATATAAAAAAGACATGTCTAGATTCTATGACAAACTTAAAATGAATCAAGAAGCAAGGAGAAACCCGGAGAAACCGTATTTCTTCAGAGCTCCGTATATTCTAAGAAAAAGGTGACTTCTTACCAAAGAACAACAAATGGGAATCTCGTAAGTCATCCAAATCAACGTTATCGACTATGACCGCACTCTCACCAAGTCAATTGAGGCGTACGTAAAAAGAAGCGGGCAGGAAAGGCATTGCCCAACTCGACAACAAGCGCACCAATCAATCCCCCGCTAGTTGTTGGTAATGAATATGGTTCGAATTTAGGATTAATGCATCGAGCAAATATACCTCCGGATGTCGATTTGGATCACCTTGGTGAATTTCTTGATGAGACCGGTCTCGACCTTTACCAGATGTTTGGTGATGGAAACATTGAGAGTGCGGGTGGAGGTTGATATTTGGAAGAAAAAATTTGTACTAGGCCGTAGTCTATACAACCCTCAAGCCTTATCTCGATCTGGGGACGCAAATGTACCGATAAACAGTGGTACATGCAAAGGCTACCAGTGGAGACTTCGCGTTGGTGTCGAAATTAGAGACGAACATTGGTTCCGTGGCGATGATATTATGTATGTTGACTTTGCGTAATTTCATCAACTATGCCACCGACCTCTCTCGGACAAAGTTATCATTAGTCGCTATTGCCCGTAAGTAATAATTCTTTCGATCTATTATTAAACTCATCATATGTGTGTATATGCATATAAATTATCCTAACAAGTACTATATATATGCAGATTTACAATGGCGTAGCTCGTAAGGAAGGCTGCAATGAAATTGGTTTTGTTGATCCCCATATAGTATTCAAAGACCCAATTACTCCAAAGACTAATTGGAAGTCCGAGTCGAGAGTAACCTCATGAACTTCTTAGTGAACCAACGCCACAAGAAGGATATACTCTTTCCCTATAACTTCAAGTGAGTGTTAATCATGTCGATCGTATCCTTAATGGCTCATATGTTGATTCTAGTTAATTAATGAGTGTTATGCGTTATATCCTATAAACACATGCAAAGAATCAATCGGATATTGATGGACATCGATCCGGTGAAAAGTCACTTGATAATCTATGACTCGATGAGAAAACCACAACAAGACTACCAAGATATGATAGATATTATCCGGAGATAATTTCGGGATCTCTAGCAACTATATATACACACAAACATGATGATTAACTATATCCGATGACGTGGCAAATTTTTTATTGGGCGTGTTTGGAAAACCTTTATTGAGAAGCAACACATGGAAAAATGCAAAGCGCCATCGAATGTAATCCCTTTGAAAGTAAGTCCTCTAATCGCATCATCTTTATTAATTAAACATATAGCTTTCACCGATCACCAGATTGATGACAAATCTTTTTCTCGTAAAGTGGTGTCTAAGGCGAACAGGGGAACAACTACATGGGTTACTATGTTTGCAAGTTTATCAAGGTGCTCTCCCAAAGAACTCCTACAGAGAGACTCAAAGTACGTTAAAAATACACTATATATTCATTTAATTATTATTATTGATTGTGTTACTATGTCTTTATATATATATATATATGTACATATATTAATTTATTTTCCTTTAATTCAAACCTGTAGACTCGATGGTTGGAGGAAAAGGTCATACGGCAAGACCAAATCAAAGCAATTCAAGAGTCTATAGCCGGATTTTTTAATGAGCAGGTCATCGATTCCAAGGGTGAGTTCTACTTCGACCCAACACTGCCATTGAAGCCAAGCTAGAGGATGAGAGGAAACTTGTTGTGTCACAACAACTGTAATGCAATCTTTTGTAATATATGCACATGAAATAATATAATGTAAAATACACATATGCATGCATGCATTTAATATATATATGATGCATGCATTCATATATATATATATATATATATATATATTTCTATGCTTGAATTGTGTGATTTAATACGTTCATTGTGCTTGAACCGAAACATACTATATGCGCGTATAAATGTATAATTAGCAGCGTACAATATGACTTCGAAAACCTATTTTGAAAAGAAAAGAAAAAAATGAAAAGAAAAGAAAAAAGAAAAAAACCTTTAGTCCCGGTTCGTATTACCAACCGGGACTAAAGGTGCCGGCCATCGTGGCATGTCAGGAGGCACTTTTAGTCCCGGTTGGTGTTACCCACTGGGACTAAAGGTCCTCCTTTAGTCCCGGTTCCAGACCCGGGACTAAAGGACCCCCCCTTTAGTCCCGGATGCTTGCTCCCCGGGACTAGAGGGGGTTCCCCACCGGGAGTAAAGCTCGGTTCTCTACCAGTGATCGCTGGTTTTGGTCGCGTTGGTCGCAAGTCTGATGAAGTCTGCGGAGATCGGCACGGGGTGGCCGTTGGAGCGGATATGCCATCATCATTGATGGATTTGGCATTGCCCCGCCCGAATCTGGCGCCCGCACGCTGGGAGATTAATGATCTAGCGGTGTGCTACACGGGGTAATCTAGAGGTTGTGCCCGACTATGGCGCTCTAACACAGGTGCGTTGGCGGCGGCGGCTGGTGTGGTGGAGGACAATGGCGGCTTAAGCATCTACGGCCGGTCCTTTGCAGGGTGAAGGCAGATCCAGTGGAGGTGATTCCGTAGGCAGTTGTGTCCTAGGGGTGGCGGCGGCCTGAGAGTCCAAAGACCTCATCGGTGGTGGCGGCGACAACCCTCGGCGAGGAGGAGACGGATTAGGTGGAGGTTGATACCGTCGGCAGTGGCAGCCCTAGGGATTGCGGAGGCCTAGGAGTCTGGGTGGAAGAGGATATGCTCGACGGCAGCGACAGAGAACTCTGATAGAGGCAACGGCCATGATCTCAATGACGGCGGCTCTCCTATGGACAACGGAGGTCTTGGCAAGTTGGCAACAGAAACGATATGTACCATGGAATCCGGCGAAGCACTTTGAGCCTTCAAAATAATTAATGGTAACTAATAAAAACTGGCATCTCTGCATTCATACTCTTTCTGACCAAAACAGTGGAAAACATGGACGATTGTCAGCACTTGTTTTATATTACGGCCCACTAGAAGAACGAGGCCAATGCAGGGTCCTGTGTTGTTTTATATATATTACGGCCCACTACAAGAACGAGGCCATGCAGGGTCCTGTTTGGGCTGAAAATACGTGCACAGCAATATGTCAAATCATCACTTTTTATTTTGTTTGCAGCCAAACTTGACCCTCTCAAAAAAGTAGAAGCCGCTGGTAAATGACATTCCAACCGTAAGGGGTTAAGGTATCGATTTACTTGCAAGAGAAGGTTATGATGGTATCTAAGTAAAGGTGAGATCCGGTTCCTCTGATTTACTTTTGTGCGTCCCTATAATTATCTTGGGCCACTACTACAAGGTGTAATGCACAAGGCACACAAATCCAAGCAGAAGAATAGAAGGGCTTCTTGGTCACCATGGCACATCATGTCAAGAAGGGCACGGCTCTCCTGCCAATAGCAGCTCTGGTGGTAGCCATGGCCATGTTCTTATCATCTTGTGACGCAGCAGGTAATTATATATTTGTAATTCATTGAGCATGGATGCAAATACTTCATTTTCTGTCCTGATTCTGCATATAGATACGCTACTAATTAATAACAACGTGAAGCATTTATATGTATGTTTGGGTGATCACACAGACTACTGCCACGCGATCGTGCCGTGCTCAGACGAGACATGCTTCTACTACTGCCAGAAGAACAATTACAAGAACTTCCAGACGTACTGCACGCCGGGACAGTACTACCCAAACTGCTGCTGCCGTGTGCCCGATGCATGAACTCATGATGACCGGCCGCCGCCACGGCTTCCAACGTCCAACGCTACAGCGATATAGTTTGGTTTGATTTCACCGCAGGCAGCGGCACGGCATGTAATAACCTGTATGTAACCAGATATAGGTATAGTTACATGGATGTCATGATGCTATCGTATTCTCTATCTTGAATGCACCATTGGAGAGTTAACTTGAAGCATATGTGTTTCAGTAGAATCAATACCATACCATACTGTCGTATGTGAAGTTTTTTCCGTTTCAACACTGTAACTCAGCTGTGTTGAATGTCAAGTGATGCAAATCTATATCCTCAAAATAAAGTACTCGAAAGCAGCTCTTTTTTCATTTGGAAGTTCAGTATAGATATGGTAATGTATGGAATCAAACAGCGTATCAAATCTTTACGGGGCACGAATACCGGGGCCTGGCCCATTGAAAAGCCAGCTTATAGTTTCTCTAGCGAACCACGGCCTGTTATAAATTAAGTTTAATTTCAGCCCGTGACAATGATTGATGAAATAAGAAAGCACTGATGAACAAATGATTTTTTTTAAATATTGCTAATTGGAAGACAACAGCAATCAATTCATATAAATGTGAAATCACAATATATCATTAAAAATTAATGACTCCATTGTGTATGTACAGGTGCAATTGCAGCTGACGGAAAGATTGGACAAATATGATACGTCATATCTTCTTTTTATTTAATTGCCGCCAAAAGTGACTATTTGCAGTGTGGTACACTATAACCGGAATTTTCAGAGGCAGATGTAGATACTATAGAGTGGCGGTTCGCATAGCCGCCTCTACTTTTTCTGTCTCTACAAATCAGCGACTCATATAGGCAGCAACCAAGCAGCCCCTAGAAATTAGATTTGTAGAGGTGGTTGGCAACAATAGTCGCATCTACACATCGATTTCTAGACGTGGCTGCGTCTAGCCTATTAGTTGATCTCCACCAATAGGCCCAACGGCCTATTGGGCCCTTGGATCTGCGCCCTGATCGGGGGCGCCCAACCCTAATGTGGTTGGTGGGCCCCTGTCGCACAGCACTATAAATAGAGGAGTGGCGAACTGGGCTCGACGAACGAAGTTGACCGGAGCCGCCACAATCCCACCACAGAGAAACCTAATCCGATCTAAAGGAGTGCTGCCAGCGACGGGATGCCCCACCGCACCGCCATCGCCCTTGCAGCGTCACCACTGGTCCACTGCATCGCCACCATGACGCCAACAACCCCACGGTACCGGCGTCTACCCTGCTGCGGTGCAACTACGCAAAGGCGAGGAGGCTTACCCCGGATCTACTGTTACAGAAAGGTACACCATGATTCCTAACAATGGTATCAGAGCCAGTTTACAGTATGGGGTAGAGCATAGAAAATAAAGAACAAGGGTTAAATCCATTTCGGATTGAAACCCTAACCCTAACTGGATAAAAGAAAAGAGAAGAAAGACCGGGGGGTGGCGAACGTCACTAAACTCCCAGTCACCACCGCCACCGCGCGGGGAAAGTTGCCACACCACCGTCTTCGCCGGCGCGCATCAAGAAAAAGAACAGTCCTCTGTTCGGATCTGAGAAGAAATTCCAGAAAAGGATCCAAAAGAAAAGAAGGGGAAAAGAGAAAGGAACGGAGAAAAGAACCCTAACCCTAACTCGTGACAAAGAAGGGAAGAGAATGATTCGGTACAAATAGAAAAGAAAGAAAAGAATCAAATAAATGAGATGAACCGAAACGAACAGAAACCCTAACCCTAGATCTCGATTCGGATGAACTCCGAAAAGAAAAGAAATCAAAAGAAAAGCGAAACCCTAACCCTAGAACGAATCCCCAACCCAAATCGGTTCAATCCGAGCACCAAAAGAGAACCAGAGAAGAAAACCAAAGAAAGAAGAAGAACAGTCCAAACCCTAATCCCTATCACCGGTTCGGATAAGAGAAAAAGAAAACCAAATTGGACAAGGGAAAAGGGGGAACGGACCTACCTCGCCGTGCGTCGGGATGACCCTTCGCCGGCGCGGGAGAAGAAGGGCCGGGCTCGGCCAAGGGTCGCCACAGCCAGGCCGCTCGACGACGGCGTGCTCACCCGCTGGGGAGCACGCGCGCCGGCGAGGGGGCCGGCGACGGCGCCATGGCTGCCTTGCTCCACCGCCTTCGTCGCTCTCGGTTTGCTCGCTCGGTTGTGCTCGCTGCGCTGAGGAGAGAAGAAAGAGCGGCGTAGAGAGAGAAGAGGGAGGGCGAATGACGCTAGGGTTACGGTGGCTCTGACGCGGCGCTGGTTTTGACCGGCCGAAACGATCGCTTGACCGTACGATTGAATTCAACGGCGCAGGATGCACGGGCCACATCACGGCCTAGGCGGGCGAGCGCGCTGCGGCGCTTTGTCGGCCCAGGCCCACGTTGCGGCCTGGTAAGGCAGCGCGCGCGAGGGAGAGACTAGGTCGGGCCACTGTGCCAGTTTTGGCCCAAGATCAGTATTTTCTTTTTTATTTTCCAGTAATTGCTTATTTCTGAAAAATGAAAAATAGGTCAAAGAAAATAGAAAAAATAATTTTTTCCTATGGGTAAAATTCAAGAAATTGAGTATACGTTTTCCGCTGTTAAAAAATAGTTGATTCTCTAGTTATTTTGAACCTACGTGATATTTAATTGGAGAAAAAGATAGTTTTTCCGCTGCTAAAGAAATTGTTTATTCTTCAGTTATTTTGAACCAACGTGATATTTAATTGAAGAAAAAGAGAGTTTTTCCGCTACTAAACAAATTGTTTATTCTCCAGTTATTTTGAACCAATGTGATATTTAATTGGAGAAAAAGAGATTTTGACATGATTATGATGTTATTTTCTGACCAACGTTGTTAATAACAATATCGTAATTTTAAAGATTTTAAGTATTAATCTTATTTCTGCCCAACGGTGATGTAGAATTAGTTTATAAGAACAATATCGTGATTTTAATGATTTATGCATTAATTCTATTTCTGCCCAATGGTGATGTAGAATTTATGTATACGAACAGTTGTATGTTTTAATTTTGACCAACGTTGTAATCAAGGCATGCAAATGGTGTTATTTTTATGTTAAGAAAAGGTTTGACCTGGTTTTCATCTTGTCTAAGGTGGACTGGGTAGTCACCTCGCCGTGTTCCACAGAGCCTATGGCACCGGTGAGGGAGACAAACGAGGATGATGCCGTTTGGGCAACTAAAGAGAGGGATTTTGAATCCCAAAAGATGTCCTATGCCCTTGTGTATAGGAAGTGGGTCACTACCAACAAAGAATGTTTGGCTATGATAAAGAACACGATTGAGCCTGTAATTGTGGGCTCAATCTCAGAGTGTGACACGGTCACTGAGTACCTCGATAGAATAAAGAGTCCATTCACTGGCTCTTCAAAGACATATGCTACCTAGCTGATAAAGCAGCTGATGACAGAGAGTTACTCTAGAAATGTTGCCATAAGAGAGCTCACGATGCGCATCGAAATTATGGCACTGTCGTTTAGACCATATTTCGAGGGAGAGAATAGAAAGACGAGTTAAGAATAATATTCTTCCTCCATTAGAGCTCTCAGATTTAGAACAATGCAGAGAATGCATAAAAGAAAAGTATGTAAAGAAAGTTAAGAAAGATGCCAAATGAAGCGCAGGAATTTTATAGATTATTCACACAGACATCTGTGGTCAGTTTCCTGTAAAGAGTGTGGATGGTAATGATTCGTTCATAACATTCACAGATGATTACTCCCATTATGGCTACATTTATCCAATCAAAGAAAGAAAAGAAGCATTGGATAAATTTAAGATATTTAAGGCAAAAGTTGAAAATCAACACAATTTAAAGATTAAGATAGTCAGGTCCGACCGTAGGGGATTACTACGGTCGGTATACTCCATATGGCCAAGTTCCTGGACCTTTTGCAAGGTTCTTTCAGGAGAATGACATAGTAGCCCAGTATTCTATACCGGGTGAACCTCAGCAGAATGGAATAGCTGAGAGACAGAATTGTACCCTGATGGATATGGTGCGCAGTATGATAAGTTACTCCACCTTATAGTTGAGCCTGTGGATGGAGGCGTTAAAAACCGCCATTCATATTCTCAATAGAGTACCAACTAAGTCGGTGCCCAAAACACCATATGAGTTGTGGACAGGAAGAGTACCCTCACTAAAATACTTAAGTGTGTGGGGGAGCCCTGCTGAGGCTAAAGTATTTAACCCAAATATTGGGAAGCGAGATCCCAAAATAGTAAGTTGTCATTTCATTGGCTACCCAGAGAAGTCAAAAGTTTTTCGTTTCTACTATCTAGAGAGACATACAAAGTTTGTGGAAATGAGACACGCTGTCTTCCTAGAGGATGAATTGATGAGGGGGAGCATGATAGCTCGAGAAATTGACCTTGAAGAGAAGCGGGTGTATGCGCCCACTCCAATCATTCATGAGCCAATTTTCTCACTACCTGCTGTCGTTGCACTGACAGTGCAAGATACTGTGGTGCCAGCACCTATTGTTATTCCGCCTGTGGCAACAATGAATGACGATGAGGAACCTGTTCTTCAGGATCCTATAGAACCAATTGCCACAAATGAGGGGGAGCAACAACAGTCTCAAACAGAAGATGTGCCAAATGTGGAGGCCCCTAGAAGGTCTCAGAAAGTTAGAAAATCAGCTATTCCTGCTGATTATGAAGTGTACAACACTGAGAAATTTCAAATGGAGGATGATCCCACCTCATTTGAAGAAGCCATGAGAAGTGATCATTCATCAAAGTGGCTTGAGGCCATGGAAGATGAAATGAAATCAATGAATGCCAATAAAGTTTGGGACTTGGAAATAATTCCTAAAGGAGCCAAAGCAGTAGGCTATAAATGGGTCTACAAAATAAAAATTTAACTCTCAAGGGAATATAGAGAGATATAAAGCGAGACTTTTGGCAAAAGACTTTACGCAAAGAGAAGGAATTGATTACAATGAGACCTTTTCTCCAGTTTCATGTATG